GGGAAAAACATTATTTATGGACCTGTTTACAGGAAGGTGTGCTGCTTAATGCTCAATGTCTCAACTGGATTTGAGAAAATATCACTGAATTCAGGCTTTAAGCTCTGGCTCAGGTCACAGTATTGTGTTATTAGGTAAAGCATAAAGTCTTCATCGGCCAGAGTGACCCATCCTGTCAAAGCTTAATATACTGCTTGCCTCAGCATTAAGGAAGTATAGACCTGTTAGCTTTTTACTCCTCCCTGGATGGGATTCTAGTAAATCACGATATTTAAACGCCAGCATTAAATTCATCAGTTCCCATGAATATGCCTGGGTGGAGAGAGAGACTGTGAGAGTGAAGTGTCTTGCCAGAGAACACAACACAATGACCCCGGCCAGGGCTCGAACCTGGACTACGTCATCAGAAGTGCAGCAAGCTGATCATAGATCAGTGCAAGAGATGTGTTAGACTTGTTAGAAGTCTACATCTTAGCGTGGATTGAGAATGACAACCAGAGTGAATGAAAACAGACTTTCAGAAAGTCTAGAGACTAGCAAATCTTCACTGTGGCATTCTCTGTAACTGTGTATTCAAAATGTGAAGGGAAAAGGGGGAAAAATGACTGTTATCTGCCTTTTTATTTTCAATTGAGAAAAAAACAACTACAACAACAGCAACAATGGCAATAACAACAAAAATTCTGAGATTAATTTTAGTGAGCTTTATTTGTGCATTTTTTAAATCTCATTTGTGTGCTGTTTCTCTTGACCAGCCTGGTGATCTCTACATTGAGAAGCTTCTTACACACACCATAAAGGCTCAGTCTAACATCAAGCTAAAGGTACAGGAAAACAAAGCAAGGGGAAAAAATGTGCTTTAAAATACGGTTACCTTTTTTTCTTCATTGGATTGCCTATTTTTCCCCACTAAGAACCCTTCATCTTTGCCACCCTCTCATATATAAAAGTCATGTCATGATAATTCGGTGGCCCCACTGGTCGTCATATTACTTAAAATTAGAATTAGAATGAAAACTCATCTATGGAGTGCCATTAACTCCACTAATTATCTAAAACTGATTAAAAGTAGCAAGTTAGATTAACATATTCATAAACAATAGAAATTTAACAGGGCTTCAAATAATTTCCCGGCTGGCGCCGGTCAAATTGTGCGGTCAAACCTATTTTTTGCTCGGACATATCCCATTTTTGGCCGGACAAACATCGATTACGTCTTATCGCTATAAAAGTGCCCCCTCCCCTCTTCACATGATGTTGAAATATGAAACAAGTAAATTTTCAAAGCATTTATTGTACATGAGGATCGACCTCAATGCAGGAAAAGTGGAACGCATGGTACAGCAAAATCAGTAATCACTTTTGTGCAAAAATTTGCAACGATAGCCGGAAATTTTATGACTATTACGAATCATTTATTAAAAGTTCTTTGTCTGGTTTGTTAAATATCCGCCTTTTTCCCCTCCTTTTTCACAAACGCCAATAATATTGAACCTTTAAATATTTAAAACTTGAAACTCTGCATTTTTTCCTTACCAGCGTAAACGACCGGACAAATAGTCCGGCCATCTAAGGATTTGACCGGACAAAGCCTATTTTTGACCGGACATTATCCGTTGAACGGCCGCTATTTGAAGCCCTGTTTAAATAGAAATATTGGTACAAGAAACTAAAAACCTATAGTCCTAAACCAACATGTAGTAGATGAATTACTGCTCTAACATCATTCTAGATACTGCTCTTAGAACTTTTTATTAATAAATATTCTTTGGTTTACAAAGATGGGCTTTTGTTATTATCACTGGAATTATTATTTAATTCTTCTGCCAGTTTCATTGGTCACTTTCTTCTGGAGACTAAGATCATATTGTTATACATATATTAACAGGGTTATCAATAGAAAAAATGCTTTATATACCCTGCAGGATCTTTAAATATGTCTGCAATGAATTTGTTGTTTTTATTAAAGGAATTGTCGCAGATTTTAACTCAGGACTCATCCTTGAAGTCAAAAGGTATTTTCTACAGCTAATTTGTCTTATAGATTTCTTGAATGTCCATAAAGGTAATGAAAGTGAGATCTTGCATAGAATGTTTATCACACCGTCTGCTAGTCACTAAAACGTTTTCCCGTTATTTTAACTTTCTATGCGTGTAATATTTCAGTGACAATGGATGACTTTTGTCCAAGTCTCGCCATTCAAGTATCACGCAACCCCACCCCTGCAGAGATCATAATAATCACAGTTGGCAAAAGGAATGGCATTTTCCAGGTGTCCTTGGGCAATGGTGAAGGTGCGTTCAGAGTTTTTGGTACTTTTATCTTTTTCCTGTAAATGTTCAAGTTCTGGAGGCGTGGTCTCATAGTTACTGCGCGATTCTGGATCAAGCGGTCCGGATTCCTTCCGTGGCTGGGGACATTGTGTTGTGTTCTTGGGCAAGACACTTTACTCTCACAGTGCCTCTCTCCACTCAGGTGTACAGATGGGTATCGGCGAATTTAATGCTGGGGGGTAACCTTGTGATGGACCTGATGGGCCACTTGGCTCATACGCAGACTTAACCTACCTACATGTCTAAGTTCTAGATTTTTATGACTGATATTATTGTTACAAAATGAAAGCTGCGTTGTGCATATAGCGATATCTACCTTGGTATTCAAATGATGGGGTGTTATCTTTCTTCGCAGAAAATACGGTTTGTTCAGAGCTGGAAAACACACTGAACTCCAACCTGGATCAGTTTCTTACTCTGTTAAGAGATGCAAGGTATGACATGCACATGTACCTTTTAGTTTAAAATTTCTCCAAGTGCGCTAATTAAGAAACCACTCTGTGCGTCTTTTTTCGACTCAAAAAGACGGCCAAAGATTGAATCAAAGTTGTAGCAATTTTAAGTTTCCAACCTTGCAGTGGTTTTATTAATGTTTTCAGCAAGAGAGCAACTGGTTTTCACAGGCGGGCAAAACCATTTGAACTGAACTTCTTTGTAAGAAAGACTTTCCACTAGGTGGTTAAACCACGCAGGCAAAATCATCTTCACTTACCTTGAGCAGTGCTGCTTGCTTCCTTTTCTGTGTCTGAACAGGTGTCAGTTGTGTGTAAAGAGATATCTGAAGTCTACTGTTCAGCTACCTGTGATAGCCTCGCTGTCTTTACCAGTTGTCAACTTGGCCGATCACAAGTTATCCCAGCTCAGTAAACACAGATTGTTCATCCAGTTCCGACGCCATCCATCATACTGTTTGGTCAGTATTCACAAGTTGGTTATTTACGGGGCTGGTGTGTCCTGTTTCCACGAGTCACAAAAGCTTTAATTTTAAACAGTAAAGCTTACATTAATAGTTTGTTAAGTAATATATCAAACGCGAAAGACCGTGTTTGACCACATTTCCAAACACCGAGAAGAGAGTTGAAAATACGACGCGCAGCGGAGTATTTTTGACGATC